ATATATGTATATATATTGACAGCCATGGTTCCCCTCACTCCGAAGTCGTCATTCTGATGGGGCTGCTGTGGGATTGCTGCGATTGCAATTTTGTTACGTGCACTCTGCTGCCATCGAAACTCTTGTAAATTGGACACGAGGTAGATAATGCTGCCCCCTTTTAGAATATTATTGCATTGTAACGATGTTTAACTTCATTTCTCTGCCAGGAAATGCATTACATACTCATATTGGTGGGACATTCGCGCTCAATTTCTGAAGTTCTAAAAATAATGAATAGGCAACTCATTCAAACTCTTCTAGAGTGGAATCTGAACTTCAGGACAAGACCCTGGACCTGTTCCGCTTACAACTCCAAATAGGGTGTCGGTACGCTTGATTATGACGTCATCATTGTTAATGGATGTTTCCTGTATCCTTTTAATGTAGTTGAATTACTTCTGCAGAAAATGAAAAATCGGAGTTTTGAAACTTTTAGACATTGCTTAGGCTTTTTTGGTTGAAATGCAATCACCGAAATCAGTAAGGATGTTGAGCTAAAAGAATGCGAATTTTTTAAAATAATTTGCTGAAGTAAATGTCAATTTCCGTGATCTTCGTAAAAACTGGAATCTGGATGAGTGTGGGACATATAAAACTCTAAAAGATTGTTTATTCATGCAAATAGAGACTTTTGTTTATTTCTATGCGGCAGAGAACTTCAAAATTGTGAAAGCGAAAGGCTTTTTATTGTCAACATATCAAATTTTGAGTTTTTCCAAAGAATTGAAGGAGAACAACGATATGTGCGAAACATAGCTTTGACTATGAGTAACTTTATCTTTAATAACAACTGCCTGCATTGGTTTATCGGATGAGTTTGTGTGGTTTTTTTCACTCAAAAAATTACAAAGGAAGGAAACTTGTCGAAGTGACGATGCAATAGTTGAATACTGGTATTTGCAATCTAGTAGGCTGATTTCAAATCTTTCTTTCATATCTGCAAAGCGATTCCTGAAAAAGTAGCAAACTCTTCCTTGCTTTCAGAAATAGCTTACACGATTTGTGGTGCTTAAAAGTTCTGCTTTACCTCTAAACGGCAGCGTAGAAGGTGATTATTGTTGAAATGAATTTTTCTCTTATGATAACTCCTTGCATCGTTGTTTGTCGAATTTGAGATATCAAATCACTCTTTAACAGACTGCAAAAGGTATTTTTGGCAGAGACAAACTTTCATAATATCTTGCGGAGAAAAGCTTTGCATGAAACCGCATCTCAAAGTGCATCTATCACTATGTATCGATCCTTGAACCGCCACTTAGATTAAATTACTTCCCTTGTAAGCCTGAAGTTTGCAACTCGTTTAAGATCATTCGAGAGAAAGTCTTTTTGCTAGAATATAGTGTACAGTGTCTAGCTCGTTATTGATCTCAGTTTTGCAAAAGTTGGACTGCTTAAAATTTAAAATTTAGATATTCGAGAAATAATTTTCTAAGAATATATGCGGGATTATGCGGGATGTTGCAATATGTAGTGCTTCTGATTTAGGTAATTAAACATGATAAGTACAAGCGTCATACGCACTACCTAAGAGAGAACTTCAATGTTAGAGTACGGTAGGTATAAAAAGGAAGTGTCAAAATTAGCGATTTAGCTTAAAATGGCTTACTGGGCTTATTGAGATGGTAATCAAAAAATTGATATGATATTCGAAAAACATAAATATTTGGTTCTAAATTGTTGGATATCCAAGAAACACATTTATTTGACTGTTCGTTTAGTCGATTTTTGAGGAAAAAGCATTTATTTATCTACTCCAATCTTCATTTTTCAAAGCTTCGAATCTTTTGCGACGAATACATAAGTGATTTGATTTGCGATGTGAACAATTTTGTTCGTTCGAATGGTTGCAGAATGGCAATACCAACCATTTCTACTTAAGACTTATCAGGTTTAATTCGAATATCGGGCAGGACACGATCATTCGGTAGTTATAAGAGATTCACAACGCTTCGAGGGCTTTTCGCGCAGATGTTTCACTTTCGCAAGCCAAAATTGTGCATTTAATTTTGTAGTCATCACCACCATGTTTTTCATATTTATGTCTCCCGAAAGGTGAGATGAGATTACCTCGTTTTTTATTGGCTAAATGTTCTTTAACCCTGACACCAA